GTGCCACTAAGCACCCTCCGACTCGTGACACGAGCGCGGCTGCTGCGGGGCGGGTGGGAATAGGGGCTGCCCCCCGTGGGTTCGGTGCTCCCGGTTTAACGAGCGCTGGTTTTGCACTGGAGAAGGAAAACGCTGGCGCTTCGGGGAAGCTGCTCCGAGGATTTCGCGGAGCTGCCCTGGGGGCTGCAGGAATGGGCCCTAATCTGCCCTCCCTTTTGCATTTCCCAGCTGGAGGGAGGCACTTCTTTCAGGGTGCATCTCCCGCCGGGCTGAGAATGGACACACTCATCACAGCAGTGAGCCCAGGCTGCACCAGCGAGGGGCCACCACGTCCCGGTCCGGGGTCCCTGGGCCCCCATCGGGGATGGAGCAGGATCCCTTCCCTCCCCGGGCCTCCCCGTGTCGCCGGCGCAGGAGGAGGATCCTGCGGGGCCCTGGCCGGACGCCGGGAGCCAGGCGGCCGCGCGGGCTAAATTGGGTTCCCCGGCGCCACATGCTTAAAGGAGAAGCACCCGGCAGGCAGGATTTGCGCCCCTGCGCAGGACAAGCAGATGTGGCCCCCCCTGACCAGCCCAATGTCCTTCCTGGAGACATGGGTCACATGGATGTGGTCCCCATCTCTGTCACAGTGCCCCCATAAGGAATAGGGAACATGTGGACACGGCACCCATCTCCATCCTAGTGCTCCTCCTGGGGACCTGGGGCACATGGACATGGCACCTCATCTCCATCCCGGCCTTGTTCTGGGGAACTTGCGACACGTGGAGGTGGTCCCCCGTCTCCATGGCTGCATCCCTCTTGGAGAATATGGGACAAGGGCACGTGGTCCCGCATCCGATCCCACCATCCTTCCCCAAGAACATGGGACACCTACACACAGTCCCCCATCTCCCCCTGCCCATCCCTCCTGGTGACCACGGCACACATGGGCATGGATCCCACCTCCATCCCACCATCCCTCCTGGAGAACAGGGGACAAGCACACGGACACGGTCCCCATCTCCACCCCCGCCAGGACCCAGCGCCCTGGTGCCCAGGGCCCCC